TCTGCAGACATCTGGATTCTGAATGATGCTGACAATCTGAGCACAATACATCTGGGCACGCAGGGAGAATGATAGACTAAGTTTTCTCTACTGGACGGGGAGAGGGAAGGGGGAAGGGGGAAGGGGGAAGGGGGAGGCATGCCATCTGGTTGGCGCCAATTCCTGATCTAGACGACACACGTAGAACAGACACTATCCTTTGAGGAGCGGAAATCTACAGGGGCGAAGAGCAGATCTGGGAGGTTATGGCCTGCTTTCTGGACCGTGAGGAGGAAGAGGAGAAGAGGAATACGACGAGGATCATAAGGACAATAAGAATTGTGATCATCTCGGTGACAACGATGATCAAGACGTTAAACTTCGGACGCAACAACAACGCGCCAACTTCATTATTACAGCACCCTCCTCGAAACCACAGCAATCACGCAGAAAAAAGAGGATCTCTCTCTCTCTCTCTCTCTCTCTCTCTCTCTCTCTCTCTCTCTCTCTCTCTTGCGCGCACGCGCGCGCCCGTGCATCCCCTGACCCGCCCCCTGGTGTCTCTATGAGTGTTGCCAAAGAATCATCATAAAGAGTTTTGCAATGGCAAAGTTTGAGAGAGAGTGCAGTTATATTACAAGTAAAACCACTCCCAACATCAGCCAAGGACTGAGGCAGTATGCACCCTGGCTGCAGGAGGGGTCGCCTACCAGCAGAGGGCGAGCCTGGCGGCACGATGAGAAATTTTGAGTCTGCCCATTTTGTCGATTTCAAGAAAAGGCAGATTAATTGCCAATCTGCTAGGGGGGGAAAACAGAAAATTCAAAAGAAAAAATACGCAAGGAAACCAAATTTTCCAAGCTGCAAAAGACTCGAAGCAGAACAAGCATATATGAGCAAAGTCAAAAGTAGAATTACAAAGTCGAGAGCACAACACTGAGAACACACTGACACTGAAGTCTCTTGATTAAGAAAGCCCCAACTTCTCGCTTCCACTCATCAATACAACCACAAGCCCTACTATGATGTGACAGCCTGTACTACTCTCCTACTCTTCTTTCTATACACCGCCTACACCTCTCCCTCACACTCTCTCTCTTTCCGCCGACTCTCCTCCCGCTTAGCAATGTGTCAGAGTCTGGCCACCACAAGTGTGCTCCTTGGCCATTACCAGGTAAGTCTGCCTGTCCCTGCCGCTGTCCTCCTCCCCTCGTGGACCCAAACCCAGTGCCACCTAACTTCCACCCAGTGCAGCTAAGGGTGCCACTGGCGAAGCTGCTGACCATGGCTGCTCCTCAACCTTCTTTGTCAATGTGCACTCGCCTACAGAGTCTGGCCACCACGAGTGTGCTCCTTGGCCATTACCAGGTAAGTCCGCCTGTCCCTGCCGCTGTCCTCCTCCTCTGACGACCTCAACCCCAGTGCCACCTAACTTCCACCCAGTGCAGCTAAGGGTGCCACTGGCGAAGCTGCCGACCATGGCTGCTCCTCCACCTTCTTTCTCAATGTTCACTGGCCTGGCCGTGTACGCTTTCAACAGAGCTAGAACTGGCAGCCAGTGCCTCAGAATGTGTGGAATGATGCGGGTTCCTGCCTTTTGTCACATTCTGGAGGCCATGGCTGCCTCGACTGCAACTGGGCACTTCCCAGACTGAGAACCTTCCGAACTGAGTTCCAGGGCCCCAGTCGCCGCAACTAACCGGGAGTTAGGGACCGGATGGTTAGAGAGGCTGCACCCAGCCTTCCTTCCCAACCGTATCATGCCAGCCTTCACTCAGGGCTGACAGATTTTCCTTCTGCCGCAGCCTTCACTTAGGGCCGGGCCGAATGTCTGGGCGGGCCCCAGTAGACGACTGCCAAGGCCTTAAAACCACCAGTACATGGCCCAGCCAAGTTGAAATGCACAATTGAGCCTCTCCGAAGATTTTCGGGCTCGGGGAAGGCCCGGGTGTGCAACGGGGGAGGAGCTTTTGGGCCCATTGAAAAAGTGCAAATGGACTGTATGGACTGTATGATGCCCTCCTGGTTCATCCACGCATGTCAAAATACACTCAGATGAGAAAGAGGCAAAAAGAACCAAGGGAAAACAAAAACGAAGCTTTCAAAAAACAAAACATAGCCAGCCAGTCCTTCAGGACATCCGTTAAAATTGGGACGATACAGAGAAGATTAGCAGGGCCCCTGCGCAAGGATAACACGCATAAATCGAGAAACGGTCCAAATTTTATACATATATATCGTATATATAGATTAAAAAGAAAAAGAAAAAAACATATCCAGCCAGATGGCAGACAGGGAAAGGGAAACAAAGCTGGTACCCGTTCTAACAGACGCCTGCCTCGTTTCCGGAGACAGGTGGTCTCCAGAGACGCGAGGAAGGCGCCTGTTTCAATGGGCGCCAGCTCTTTCCCTTGGAGTTACGTCTCTAGTGGTTCTTTTGTTTGTTTCAGTGCATCTGCACCCATTTTCAGGATATGTACGCGTGCAGTTCTTTTTTTCTTTTTTTTTCCACGGGTGCAGTTTTAGAGAAGGGACACAGAAGAAAAGAAACATACTTACCGTTCCCGTGGAAGTCGCAGCAGGGGCAGAAAAAGAGTGTCTGCATCTGGCACTGGAATAGCGCGAGATACATGGGCGACTCTGAAGAGAATTTTGATGTAGGGCCCCCAACAGGACATGAGCACTCTACAGCTGTGCTCGCTTTTATGCTGAACGGTCACAGCTAGCTCTTTGTATCTGGAGTCGAACTTGGGTCTCCGTTTCAACAGTTCATGCGTGTACCAACTGAGCTAGCCACATTGGTTCAGCACGAGCGCCATCATTACGGGAGCTGCAAAATGAAAGAAAAAGAAAAAGAAAAAAAAAAAAAAAATCTTTTTTTTCTTTTTTTTCTAAAAAAAAAACAAAAAAAAACAGCTACCTCTGATGGCATACTCAAATTGGCACTTACCTGAATTCATCGGCCGGCAATCACAGCCAACATGAGAAGAAGAAGTCCCAGTTCGAGTCCTTTTTTCTCCTTTAAAAAAAAGGAAAATGCAAAAACTATGCTATATTCTTCTCTCAATCATACCTCATGCTACCTACCTGCCTATACGTCGTATCACCAGGAGGAACACCTAAATCTACCTGCTAAAGCCCAGCTGCACTAAGGGTTATGGGTTGAGTCCATCCCCTCAGAGTTGAGCCTATCCCCTCAGGATTGAACCTAGCCCCTAGCAATGGAAGGGACAACGGCATTCCCTACCAACCAACCAGGAGGGGCAAGCTGTCTATCCCAGCTGGTGAACCCGCAGCGCACCTTAGGAGACTGGGATTTTCGTGTTCGAAAGGGAAGGGG